CGATTACAGTTTTTAAGCAATTAGTCTGGTTTGCCTTGCCAACGGCGTTTGTGTGGAGAATGTCTAACGTATTACTTATGTGTTAGTTTATCATCCGTTGGCGAAACGACTTATTTAATTGCAGTGACATGCCATGCCCTCAAACCTTGGACGATGGTCAGAAATCCAGAACTACTCGTTTGCCCCTTGATATGTCCTGACCTTGGCATTTAGACTGGTTTTCATTTTGGCCTTTGGAATACGTTTGCATAAAATTGCAGTATCCCATGTGGAGATAGTCTGATACGATATATCATTGATTTTAGATAATGTTAGTAGAATTCTCGCCTGGACACGATAAGCCTAGATGTAAACTAAACTTTTGGTAATTAAATAACCGGTAAAAAAAATAATTGCAACTAAATCCTAAAGTGGTTTTATTTCTGCTTTACTATTTTGTTTGGTCAGTAGAAGATTAGTGGCCATTTTGTATAGATAATTATGTTTAATTTTTTTTAAATAGCAAGTAACAAATACAAAACACTAAATTTATCAATCGCATAGTTAATTATTTTAATTATAAGTGGCATTAATTTTGGTTTATGTGACATATAATTCTTTTAACTTTTTAATAGTATGCATATCATAGAACCAGCTTTTTTTAGATGAAACAGCTGACTAAATTCTTTAATACCCTTTAAATATGAATACTCATAAGGTTAACATGGGGAACTACAGAGCCACTGGGGTGGAGCCCGAAAGGATTTTTGAGATAAGAATATGCCTATATGTTCATCGGGAATGTGAGCTATCATTATGCCAAATTTCAGCCCAATCCGTTCAGTGGTTTAAATGCATGATTGAACTTCAAACAAACAAACACACAAACGTTCACATTTATAATATTAGTAAGATTATTTTTAATTTTTATTGTTTTTTTTTGTTGATTCTTTTTATTTATAAAGTGAGTTAACTAAAGACAAAAATCATAATGTATTTCCTTGTATTATAGTGCTATTTCAACTATTCATCTTAAATACAGCATCATACATGTTCTCAACACACTGGAACCCAAACCTCACACAAAAATTCTAGGACTTTACAAAACAAAAGTCCATGCAGTAATTTAGTCAAACAAGGGCAACCATTTATATTTGTTTTATTTGTTATCCATCCCATTACATTGTACTCATTAAAATCCTGTCACCCTCATGATTCATTGTGCCCTGATCTCCAATTGTTATCTCAACGCACCCTCCAAACTAGAGTGCGGGTACAGTACGTACCTCACTTGTCAGTTGTATAACAGTTACAACAACAGTGAAAGTGTATCGCTGTGTCAGACTGTACGTGTGTGTGCGTGTGCGTGTATACCGTGGTAAGAATCATGTAAATTGTCCACAATCACAAACTTCTCTGCTCCAAATCGTCGGGCGGTCTCCGCCACGTCTCGACCAGGAAGAGGTTGTCGCATGTTCGTGATCGTTGGACCGATCGTTATCGTTTTGAAGGTAAACGATATCGTTCGCATCTCGTTAGTGACGCAATGCTGTGGATTGATTTTGCAGGCGGAAATGTTTGAATAAGTGGAATTCGCAGAGAATTGTAACAAACACGATTGGTGAACGATGGATGGAAATACAAAAAAATATATCACGCACTTCTTATTATAATTACAGGAAGGTATTTTTTATATTTTTTTTAGAACAAAGAGTAAGGTTTTAAAACTGAATACAAGCTGTATAGCCCAGTAAGGTAGAGAGAAACTTAAGTCATATGAAAAGTTCAATATAGTATGAATGTTCCGAGTTTTATTTTTTCCCTCTTCCTCAATGAACTCTTTCAATCTTGACAACTTTTCAGTAAAGAAGTTACCCTGCAATTGTCCAAGTACAAATCTTTGATTTTGCTGTCCTCAATATGTACCATGTATTCAACTATCATCGCAAATCTAATCATAGTTTTGTAAATTTAAAAACACAAAATAGTTCCACCCCCTAAACCTTGGTAGTCACTTTCAATTAATTCTACAAACTCGACGTAATCGTGGTATTTTAGGTCGTAGCATACCTCATCAGTGTTACTCGCGCTCTTTATATTCATGTTTACAGTCATACTCATGGTTCTAGCCTGCATATTACAATATAGTTCGTCTATGGTTCGATAAACTGTCGCTTATTAATGTTTAACATCTTATATTTTCACATTAGGAAGTGACTACTCATCATGGGCGGGCATTAATTGCACCAATTAACTTGAGTCAGTTAGTCGGGTATTCCTGAATTGCGCCTACTCCATGGAGTCACCAGATACGTTCACTAACTGCGCCAAGTGGTGGTTCTCTTTGAATGTATAATTGAGTAGGTTTGGTTAGGATAAGTTGGGATGACACGTAAGCAAGGACATTTTTTCTGCCGGCAACTCACCTCAACCTGGCTTGGGCTTGGCGCAACTAAGGGACATTTTTGGGACCCTTTGAGGGCTTGGTGCAATTAAGGAACTCTTTGGTGCTATAATGTACGACCGCGAACCTTATCATTTCCCAAACCTCCCCAGAAAATATAGTCATTCATATCTCATACACCACCTTGGCCCTGGTGATAGCAGGATGTGCTGATGATCTCACCACCCCTGATAACAGATGATGAGATCCGGCCCGCCTCTTCGCTATTGTTTGCGACAATAGTCACCTTCTCCGGCCGGTGCTCACTATAATCGCCCTATAACTCTCAACTGTTATTGTATCGAGCCATTGCCACCGTTCTTGGACTTCCTTCAATTTGGTCGCGGTCGATTTGGCCGAAGCGTCGCGATTTAGTCAGGCAATTTCGATAAGTCTTGGAATTCAAAAGTTGTTTATTGCAGATTTTTTGGTTGAATTGTTGTAAATATTGCACTTGTATTGACTTGGTGTTGGCTGGGAGACTTAGGCAGTTTTTTCAGGGAGGTGAGGGAAAATGCTTTTCCGCACACAGGTAGCCTGTACAGTTAGTCTCCTGAATTTATCAGACTACTAACTAAAAAACCTCCTTCTATTATGTTGCTACAGACTAGGAATTGTTTGTCACATTACTTCAAGTCAGGCCAACATGTGGGATTTAGGGAGTAGAATGGGCAGACATTTAAATTGAGTACATGATTTTTTTTAATGATGAAAGTGAGTGAGAAGAAAAGAAAAGTTCAGACCATTTACGTTTCTTATGACTATGCATCTTTAACAGCCTCCTAACAGGATCCTAACGTGTTGAGCTTTCAACTACCAAATAACGTTTTCTTCATTAGATTGTAAAACTAAATGTTACACAATTCATAACTCTAGTTCAAACTTTCGCACAGCTGCTACAAAATAATCTTTGTATCTCAACGTGTTGAATCAGATTCGTTCTACATTTCAATAGTTATGATACAACCTTATCGTCACAGAGGTAGTATTGGCACAGAAGTGAAAATATGCATAATTCACCAAGGCGAATACGATAGTTGTACGATATTATCGGATTGCGGTTGAGCAACACGGAAACATTCGGTTGTCACAATCGCCGTGAAGTTTCTCGAATGTAGAGCAAATACTTGGCAGTATACTAGGTAAATAATGTGTGCAAGGCGGTGTGCGGGTGTTCTGTCGGGCGAGTTCCCTGTCTGGTGCAACCTTAAAGTGCTTCATGTAGTAAAGGCTATCGTGACCTTCAGCGAGAATTAACGCCTTCAAACTTATTAATTTGTGACAATTGTTGTATTCGTATATAGGAGGAATGCAGATTGTTAGGGATTTTGGATTTGTATAAGTTTGAAAAGTATTTGAAGAATGTCAATGAAAGAGAATTGGTAGCAAAAAGTCGTATGCAGTAAGAAACAAATTGAAACATGTTAGTTTTGGATTTCTAGATAGTTTATTCATACGAGTAACACCATTATGAAAAAATAATGTTTAATGGAAAATCTATTTTTTTTATAATGGTTTATAAAATGTAAATACCTCTTCTGGTTATCTTCTACATTATATCCATAATATTCGTTGTAATAAATTGAAATGTGTATACAATATTAGATTAGCATTTTTCCAGAAAATGTTATCACTAATTACTTGTTAGGCGGCACTAAACAAGGAAAAACACACAGCCAAAATAAAAAATTTGTTTCTTACTTTAATTAATCAAGATGAATTATAATCTGCTCATTTTGCAGTAAAATATACCATCATTGATGTTTATTTATTTTGCATAAACTGCGTTCAATTAATTGTTTTACTATTGTACATGATGTGTCGGAACGGTTTTTTACTTGTAATTTTTGGTATCTGCAACATATTTCAGACCATACCTCACCCAGATAGGTAATAATCGAGAAATTTTCACAAGTTATTTGATTACTCACATTACACTGCATTATTTGTTCTCTTTCCTGAATCAGCTGTAGTACCTCCAGGTGTTTCAACAATGCTATTTAACAGCTGATTGTATCACAACCCGTTTTGCTACCGTTGCTGTACGCTAGCACGATCTAGGTCCAGATAACCACCATTCATTATGTTCTTGCAGTCGGGGTTCTTTGTATCTTGCTTTAGTTCCAGTAATTTATATGAATAAAGTTTTTAATATGGCAAGAGAGAAATTTTACAAATACATGAACTGCCATGTGTGTTTGTACAGTATTCTTATTGTGTTTTAAAACTTATTTGGCTATGACATTGTGTTGCAAATATATTTGTCATGTCACTTCATCCTTTTTCATGGCCATAACTGAACAATTGATCCCGAAGCTGTTGTTATTATATGGTTCAAATCTTTAAACCATCGAATCCTGAAATAAATCCTGAAACGAATCCCTCAAGTCCTGAAATCTTCGAATTCAAAACTGTATCTCTAGTAAAAATGAACTCTACAGTTCAAAAATTGAAACCGAATATCAATCAGTCGTTTTGAAGACTTCTCTGACAAATATTTCGTCATGCTTTTTTTTCCTTTTTGAATGCCACCATTGTAGTATTTTACTTATAATCTAATGATTTTCTCCTTTTCCAGGATCACATCCAGGAAGTTCTAGACAAATGGACCCAGATTGACGACGAGATCTGGGCTAAAGTTATAGTCCTAGAGCGTAACAGGAGGGTGGCTAAGGCATACGCCCGCGCCCCTGTACTTACTGTCAACGGTAGTGATGACGGCTTCGACGGTTTCAGGTAAGAAAAAAAAAAACATTTTTTGCATCTAGGCTAAGGTAAATTTGTCTAACATTTGCCTATTCCATAGCTTGGAAAAATATGTCAATTATGTAACGTAAATATATACGGTGCTTTGGTATTATACCAACCATACCGATAAATTGACTTTCAAATAATATTTTAATTAGTGAAAATAAAAAAAATTTCATAACCTAACCTTAAACATAGTCCACCCTTAGTTAGGTTATAATTACCTACTGTATTAGGCGTGGTCGGTATAAAACACCCTATAAACTAACCCTAAATGATAAAACTATAAACTAAACATACAGACTGTATCTCAAAACAGTAGTTGAACATGAAATTCGCACAAAGCATTTTTATACCATCCATTATTAGGGGTTCTTTAAGGTGTTGCATACAATATTTCTATTTGAAGTGAACTCTATACTTTTAATTGTATGAGGGTAAGGATCTAAATTACTCGTATGGTAATCGTATTGGTCCTGAACTCAATTACTTAACCAATGTTAAGATCCTAAAAAAAATTTCTGATTGAAAAATGGGAAGAATATTTTTAAGATTTCTTTGCTTAAAAATTAGTAAACATAATATGAGAGTGATATTCAGTCGTAAATTTACTGTAGTCTTTATAACTCTTTATTGGAGATAGTCCATGAAAAGTAAAAGTATTCCTTCATGAGGAGCAAGTATTCCTCTATCTAAAACCATGAAACGACCATGAACCATGAGCTTTTTCGTAAGCTCTACCAGTATAGTCACTTTATGTCAGATGCACCCATTCTACTGTTGCCCATAAGCTATAGACAAAGTGACACCAGAGATAATCTTTATCCACAATCCGACATAAACATAATATAGTATCTAATTACTTGCCCATCTTCTAAATCCGCACTTGAGCCCACAATAGAACATTGTTTGCTAAATGTATTTCGAGTTTGATTTACTGCAAGGTTTGTTTAGACAATGAAATACCCACTTGTCCTTTGGAAGCGCTCACATAAATTTGCGACAATGGTCCATAAATCTCGTTCGGTTCCCGAGATGGCAGTTAAATCTTTGACGGCTCAATCAGAACCAGAAGCTACCAATACTGGCTGCTTGGAGGCAAGAAAGAGCCATACAACTGGTCAAAAGATGAGCTTGGGTGTAAATAAATTTTAGCTGGTACTTTGGTATTATACCGACCACACATAATAATTATAACCTAACCTAACCTACGAGTGGACTATGATTTAGGCTAGGTTAGGTTGGGAAGGTTTTGTTGTTTAAACTAATTAAAATCTTATTTGGAAGTCGATTTATCGGTGTGGTCAGTATAATACTTAAGTATCAATTAGCTTGAATATAAATGCGCACAACACATCCATACAATTACAATTATACATCCATGAATTTTGTTAACACTTTCGTCGACTGAAAGATGGGCCAGGCAATAGTGTGATATTACGTTGAACTAGCATCAGATTTAGCATTGCTGTGTTCAAACGATTCATATCAAAACGTGGAATAAGCGATCATATTTACTCTGACTATGGGGTCTTCTACTTGGGAGCTAGCTGAGATCTCAATGAGCTATGTGTTCCCTTCAAGACACAAGAACATTATTGAAAGGTTGTTGAAGAAACGTCGATTCATAAAATAGCACGCATTTTATTCTCCCCGAGTTCCCTCAATTTGAAAGATTAAGGGAAGTTGGTTTCCAAAACTATGGAAAATATAAGGTAATTCCATAGCTCTTGAGGACCAAAGTTAATAAATTCCATTACGTACATCAATGAAGTGGTGAATTTCACCATCAACAGGCTAAAATAACAAGCAAACAATACTTTTTCCATACTTTTACTTATTGCTGTGTCGCTCGCACTAAACAGTTTTGGAAGGATTTGCGACGTTTCGGCCACGGTCCACGCCACACTGCGTCATCAGGCCGCTTCCAACGCATGGTATTTTCTCATTGAAGGCTGCCTCCACCAGCCACTGTCCGCAGAGTGGGCGTCCTGTGTGGATGACGCTCCCAGTAACTTTATACATTGACCGGTGTCGGGTATCTCGTAGCCTCTACCCGTGGCTTACCCGGTCGCTGGTGTCTACGCCTCGAGCCATTCATAACCTCCCACAACACATTACGTCTTGTTTCGACTGTGCAGTAGTTGTAGGAAGTTCGGATTTCTGTCAAGGAGGTCGCCTAATTAAAGCTATTATTATTAGTTGTGCATTTACTTTTCTAAAAGTGTGACTAGACAAGATTTGGGCTTAATATTTTCTAAACGAACACTGATAAATCAATAAGATTTGGTTCATCAACACCACACCTAAAAATCTACTTTTTCAAGGAAGTATGGTTTTTCTGTCACATCATGGTGACGTCCTACAAGGAGTCGGAAGAAAATCTTAAATGGAAGCATAGGTCAATATGCTCTTATCTGCAGAAAACTGTTTCGTAGTGCATTTAGCGGGTTGTTGACACTTAATGGCCAAATACTAACATTTCGAGTCTTAAAAATTATATAAACTAGTTAAATATTATATATCACTAGCTAAAATAGTTCAAAGTCAATTTGAAACCTTTCAACAAAACTTGATTGTTATACTTTAACCAAAACCTCCATGGATATAGTTTTGTTAAATATTAAATTAATTTGAATAATCAAGATAATCGTTTTATTCTTATGGAAATATGAGTAAATGTCTAAGAGAATCTTAACTGTATAATTTTGGGTACTTTGAACCTAACCTAACCCAACCACCCTTAGGTTAGGTTATGTTATTTATAATTATTAGGTGTGGTCGGTAAAATACCAAAGTACCTAATTTTGGTTAGCAATCTTCGTCTCCTTAATTTTTTTTTCGTGAAGAATATTTTTTATGCTTCTTTACTAGATCTAGAGTACATTTAGAATTATCTTCACATTAAAACCTGATGAAACACTTGCAGTCAACCATTTGCACACATTGCACCACCCTATTACACAATTAACGACCCCAAGTCGTTGTTTTTGTCCTGGTTTCTTCGGTGCTCCAAATCACCAAGGAGTTGTTGGAGTTGTCACGGTTGTTAATCCAGGAAGTCTGGTGTTAAGCCATTAGTCCATGATGTCACCTGCACATCTGAGATCTGAATACTCTGACAATGTCCTGTCTTATACAACTCCCCTAGTGCACCAGGCCACCGACAGTTGCGCTAGTTGACATTTCGTCATGGGTTGTTTTTGCTCTTTTTGTGATGTACTAAGTGCAGTTTCTCATTCTGTTACTTAATTTCGTCACTGTTCTTCCATAAATGTTTAATATGGTTCAGGAGAAGGAAAAATGTGTATTGCCTTTTTAATGCTCAATACTTAACTATTGTTTGTATACGTAATTCAAAGAGGTTCTTTGAAATTAAAGATGCAGTAAACTTTTTAACACAGTCTCTGAGTCATTCATTTTAGTTTTTCTTCTTTTATCAACTTCATAACCTTTCGACCACTAACTTTTATTAATAACTAAACGTTTTTATAACTTAAACTATGTGTTTAACATGTAAGTATTTGCTGAATGTCTAAAGTTGTCCGTATATGGTATGTACATCACGTTTCCCTCTAAAATTAAATATTTTTTCCAAAGATAAATTAAATGTAACAATATTATTTTAGATCCAGATTTTGTTAGGGCTTCTACTTTAAGAATATTATAGGAGTGTTACAAATGTATTTGGTTTTTTACAAGAAAAACCAACATCCAAATTAAATATAATGCTTACTGTTTTTAATTAGTAAAAAGAAACTTAATTTTCTACTACCATAACAATTTTCATCAAAGGTTGACACTATCTTCCAGAGTTACCCTTAACCTTAAAATATCACTGTGACTCTCCGACAGAATCAAAAAAGATGCAGTAAATAGTCTGCTTTGTGATGTTGAATTGATGAATCTCTAAATCATTTACTTTAGAGGCCCAACATTACAAGCAATAAACAGATCAAGTACATGGGTTCAATGTGAGGCCACCTTGATGCGAAAAGTGAATTTATAGACCAGCTGTCTGATTATGTGTGTTTATGCCATGTTTGGAATTTTATAGGTCAGCTAAGCCTATAGGCTGGATTTACACTTGTGCGATTTATACAATAAAATAACGCTAGTTTATGGGAGTCGAGGGGCTTAGTGTGAAAGGATGGTTGAATAATTTTATAATTGAACCACTAAGGCAAAATGAAATCTACGTTCTCCAAAATTATTATTAAAGTCTGATAACGTTCGGAAAATCACGTTTGAACATTATGTGTAGCAATGTATTTGCTTGAAAACTGAAAAATCACAATAAAGGCAATCACTACATATGTGTAAATATTAGGGAATTTTTTAGATAGTTTGTAAAACATCAGTTATAATTTAGGAGTTTTCTCAATAAAACTAGAGGTAATCTATACATTTTTGGAGCAGGCGACCATGAGTATTATACATACATACAAGCACTGGATCAAAAAATACTATTTATTATTGTTGGCCTATTTTGAAATAGCTGTTTATTTGTGTACTGATTGTACAGCAACTGGCTTCATGCATTAGGCAGTAAAAATTAACTATGAAATATATCAGTGTATGAGGTACAGTAATTGATTTTACGCCACACTACATTATTTTGGAAAACTTCCCACGCAAGGATTTAGTCCAGAAAACAGCTGTTTGCCGCCAGCTTATTCAAATGGGGTTTCATTGCGTACTACTGTACTGCAATGAGTTTTACCGGACACCAATCACCTGATTATACTGTATTTAGGTGGCAGTGAGTGGCTATAAACAAAAACATAACCTCTCTTAGAGGTTATGACTAGTGATTTTTAGTAATTTAATTGGTGGAAATATATAAGGATTTGTACGGATGTAGTAGTGTGCTGTAAACTATCGTACGTAACTCGTCCAAAATGTGTGTACCGGACTCGTATGGTAATCCCGTACTCGACTTCGTCTCGCACGGGAACGACCACACTCGTCCGGTAAACACTTATTTTCAGGACTAGTAACGTAATATACTATTTTGATTCTATCAACATTTAATTCCTTAGAAAAGTGTGTAGCTTTTTGATAGTTCTAAACTGGACCCAGCTGTCCATGATAATTGGACTTTCAATTGGTCCTGACTAATGTAACAGCTGATCTTAGTCAGTAACAAAGCTACACACTACATCACACTCCAATTTACACTCATCTTTCACTCAGATTTGGGTTCAAATACGCACCTAGGCGTCCTCATCTCAAATGAATACGATAATATCTAGGACATACGGGAGTATTCATGATTAAAATATACAATTTAACATGGACAAAACATCTACCCTGATGAAGAACCACTTCTGAGAATGTAAAAATCAAATGAAAATAAAAGTTAAGTCGTAAAGATCCAGTGAACGACATTAACAACTCCATAGTGCTGTAAATCAAGCTGGTAATGAATGTATGGAAAGGGAAAATATATAAACTAACCTGGGTTAATGGTATGCCTGATTGCCACAGGCCAGGTAAGAGTATAAACATGCATACTCGCCATCCTTCTGGGAATCGTGTGCTCATGGGAAACGCATTAGTCTATTAGTTTATGTTGTGGCATAAATTATCTTAGAACAATACTCTTGGCTATGCACATACTGTTGAAAGGTTACGGGGTCTAATTAGTTTTGATGGACACGTCCAGGAAATAAATGGTCTAATTGAAAACTTGTTTTCTAACAAATCTAGGTTATTTAGACGGATACAAACAAGAATAATAATTTCTGTATTTTAAGAATGTATATTTTTTTATTGGTTTATGTATGTTATTGGAAGGTCTTATTTAATCTAAAGATATAGACTACGGCTACACAAAACTATTATAGTGTTATTTTAGATACATGCACGATAATCGTCCTAAAACACTAGTTATATATGTTGATGAGAAATAATAGTACGAAAAGGACACGTGGAGCCAAAATTAGAAGTTACGCTGACATGAAATAGCACAATACCTAAAAAAAGTATGTCTTACTCTATTTTCTTACAAGGATGAACAGCTAGTACACTGAGTATATCCTACATAAAGGAAAATATATTCGTATTAGGAATAATGTGAAATATAATAAATTTAATGTGTACATTAAGCAAATCCTTAGAAATCATATTCGTCTCGCTCTACAATTTACTTTACGTTTCCTTCACAACCGTGACATGCAATGATTCCCCGACTCATCCTTCACTGGGGAAAGCCTTAACAACGGAAGCTTTTAACAAACTCGAAAACACGAAGTGAAAGATTCCCTTCTCCAAAATGCTCTCGAAATCTAGAGAAAAGTGAAAGCCGGTGGCTGCCCACGTAAATAATTTTGGTGTCATGATAAGGCAGGAAAGGGCAAGTAGTTCAGTTTTGGCGGGTATTGCGACGTTTCGGTCATGGTTCACTCAGCAACCGGCGTCATCAGGTTGAGTCCCCGGATGTTAAGCAAACAATGTATATTACGTCATCTATTCCACCGTTACCATTCGTAAAGCTTGTTAACTCAAAGAAGTGATAAGAGTGAAAACGTACGTAGGAGATTACTTCGTCGTGATTGATTGTTTTGAAAACAGTCCAGTTGAGTTGTTAATTAGACTCGTTGCAGCAATAATAGGCAAAGATTTATTTCATTGTTCAATTTTAGATAAGGCAGATATTCGATTAGTCAAATAAATTACCTAATAGGAGTATTTTTTAAAAACGACTTTACATGATGGTTACAGTGAGAAACATCTCTTCTGAATGGGTAAACTATAGATTAAAATCATTAAGTAGGACGAACAGTGTTGACAATTTAAACACTCTAAAATTACATTATTTGGGGGTTAGATGTCAAAGAAAGCTCAAAGAATGGCTAAAAGAAAGACTGCATAAAAAATATAGGCAAATTTACCCAAATCACAGACATGGCTAATCAATGTAATATTTCCTAGTAATGCAAATATGCGTTATGCCTTTTTTTATCAAAAAGCTATTTTGATTATTTACCCAGAAAAAAAACCAGTACCAGTAAGCAATAGACATCCTTCCACACGATTCCCACATACGCCAATAACAATGAATATATTTGAATAAACCCATGTAGGCTCTTCAATGAAACTCCAACAAAAGATATATTACAAGACTGACTCTCATATTTCCAGGCCCAATTGACTTGCTAATCCCGAGCATTTGGTATAAACAACAATAAACAGCTGTTAGCGACAACCGAATGCATAACAGATGATAAACAGCTGAAAGTGCCGGTTAATATGGGACTCAAACGATGCAAGCATATGCGTTGATTAGCATAGTGTGCGTTCTTCATGCGTATTTATGCGTGTGAGACAAAGATAACGTGCGTGGGCGATAGGCGAGCGCGTGCAGCAATAGGAACCACTTTGCTTTCGGGACATTTTCGGACGTTTTTTGTCTTTATGTGCGACTTTTGCACATAAAACTAACAGTTTGCCTGTTTCCAAATGTTGAAATCTAGCGTTTGGAGTAATTAACTCTTTCCATTTTCGTTCTTTGTTTACGTTTTCGGAGTTTATTCAAATCTAGCTATTTAAGTGAAGTTACTTACTTCTTTGAACTCTATTTCGTGCTTCGTGTCTTCTTTAACTATGTCAATTCTCAATGTACTGTTTGCTTATATTCCGCGATTACTATTTTCTTTTATATTCCGACACAAGTATTATTACGTAACTTCATTTAAATTTCAGAATAATCAGACAAAACAAATCTCTATGAAGACAAATATAAATAAGACAACATTTTCTAATAACCTGGCATCAGTATAAATTATCCTGGTTTCAGAAGGATTAATTAAATCTTAGAGCACCTGGAAAAAATAGCCTGATGCATAGGAAGGTGGAGCAGGTAAACTGAAAGCAACATTAACATGTTAAATAGCAAAGCATGACATATCAGCTAACCGTTGCCCTGAGGACATTGAAAACTAGTTTACCTTGATAACCCGTTGCTATTACAGCTATATGTGCTCGCGCGCGCATGTGTGTGTGTTAGCTTACTTTACTTATTTTATGGATAAGTGTGTGAGTAGTCAGAAACTTCGTTTGCTTGATATCAAGAGCAGAACACGACTGAGCTTAGAATAAATTACCAATCGTCTATTATTTAAGATGGGGACGCTACTATGTGCGTATTTTAACCCAAATATGAGTGAAGGATGAGTGTAGGATGAGTGGCGCGATCTTTTAGTCTTGTTAGTGACTAAGGCCGACATGTTCCGAGTTAACCTTAAGACAAACAATTCTTGATCATAAGTGTTCCAGTTTTATTTTATAGTTTAATTCAAGTATTTGTTTGGAACCTTTACAACTTCACCTTAAACGGTACCGCTTACACGGGTTAAACGCTTAAATGCTTTACGCCATTTACGAAATTCTTAGATTGTCTTGCTTTTGTGCTATTCTTGGTCGATCCCTTAATTTAGTTTGAGATTACTCAACAAAAAATCGTTTCTGACGTCATTAACATTAAAGAGCTCTCTTAGGAAGCCTAAGCAGTAAGCTAACCAGACTTAAATAAAAACAACATGTGCCCAAAATTTTTGGATTTACTACATTAAAATTATTACGTTTTAGTTTTTTGTAAACTTGTTAGATTGAGGGATTGTGCTGAGTAAATCTGACCGTACGGAATGTAGAAGCTGCAATGTTCAGCACACACCGCAAGTATGCTCTACATGTACGGTTATGTAACTGCCGAAGAGCAACTCCAAGACACAGCGGGAGTCTGGTTACGAAGTGGTCGTCTCTTGTTTTTGCCAAGATGTCTTTGAGCTGCCGCTTACGGAGAAGACGGCAAACTGGTTCGACATATCGGATCGTACTGATAGGTTTTTACTTTTCGTTTTATGTCCCACTGCCCCTGGAATGCTAGTGGACTAGTAACATACTGTCTTTGTTTTGTTCTGGACATTCTTGGCTTGGAGAAACTATGTTTTTGCCGTTGTATTGTTCATTTAGCGTTGGTTGTAAGGAAGATTGGCAGAAAAGTAATAAAAATAGCTATCTAGTTGTGATTTTCCATGACTCTTTGCATTTAGCTTGGTTCATTGATGTTTTATCAGTTGTTTAATATACATGTTAATTTTGTATATTTTGTTTCAGAATTGGATTATGCGGATTTGATAATCCAATGCGAGACCCAAAAACAGAAGACCTTAAGAAACATATAGGACACGTAAGTAAAGTTTATCCTGATTCAAATTGTATTAATATTGGTTAACGTTTGACAACGCCTGCAAAAAGAAAAGAAAGAAAATTATTAGTCTTAAATCTTTTAAAGCATCTGAAGTAGTAATAGAAAATTACCAAATAAACAAAGCAGGCATTTTATGAACTTTTTATACACACGCTTGCTTGTCACTCATGTTATTAAGTAGGCCTACATGAATATTTAATCGTACAAAATCAGTCAATTATAAATGCAGAGATTGGTATGGGAATGTCGTGTTGGATTGCTGCACTTGTGGTTGGACAGGTTATAGGATTAGGATCAGCAAGGTTGATAAATCTTAGATGTCGCAACCCAAAACAGGTTTACATTTCTATGTTTAAACTCAGGTAAATTAAATATATTTTGATTAACTTTTTGGGGTTTCCAATGCCAAAGACATTTTCTAAGGGTTTTTTAAGTTATCGGCCCAAGAAATGTTATATACATAAAAACGAAAATACACCACTTCTTATTCAATAATGCCATTAGTTTTGAGGGTCTAATGAAGTTTATATAAAATGAGGGAAAGATGAGAATTGTAACTAAAAAGTGAGTAAATTCATTAGTCTTAATCGAGTGACCAATAGAGATGCTCTAGGCAAGGGAACTCAATTTGAATATTGATCTTAAACTATTTACCCTTCAGTGATTTTAAAAGCCACAGACCCGATTAGCATATTTGGCCACCGAGCTATCAGACGCGCGCATTCGTCTTTAGCAAAAACCGCAGAAATTTCCCCGGCAAAAAAGTCCAATCACGGGATCGTTGAAACCCAAAACGTGCAAGAGGCAGTTGAACGGGTTTTTGACAGCTCGGACGTCCTTGGGGCTAGTTTGGGGTAATGCCCTACACGTGGGAGGTTTTATATCTTCTACTTTAAACTGATAAAACTTTATGTTCTCACTAAATTTTTACCATCAAACGTTTATCATATTAGGTTTCCTGCAAGGTAGTAAGATTTAAGGGGATTCATGCAATATAGCGTAATAATTGTTTACTTAAGTTTTTAATTTTTTAAAGCCAAATTAAAATTACAACCATGTAGTCTAGAATCCTCTAAGATTCCCATTTTCAACCACACGCGGCGTGTAAATGACCGATGAGTAAATTCCGTAAACATGAGAACTTAAGCTTTATGATGAAATTTTGGTAAAACCACCTAAACTTAACAACGTCTCCCCCACTTTTTAGAACAATTTAGATATTACTTAAAAAAATATTATATTCTTTTCAAATAGATTGGTGCATCTGCTAATCATATAACTAAATTTTTTACAACGTTTTTGTTAAAATTCTCACTCTGTATTATAACGTGAGAAATTTTCTTCTTAAAACTGCCAATAGTAAAATTAAAAAAGATTGAGTTTCGACCACAGACTCCTTAAATCATTTCTGATACCTTCTTTGAGAGTGCCACTGGTGTAGACACAAAAAAAAAAAAAAAACAACAAAGTTTATGGTTCAGCACTAACATTACTCAAAGTCTCTTAGCAATCAAGTATAAAGAAAATAGGTGTACAGTATTATTAAAGAAGACCTGTTTTGAATGATAAAAAAAACCAGACCAAAGGCCGTACAAGGTTACACCAGCTGATGATATACTCCTGGGCGGAGCTGGCAGGAGCAAGGAGGAGGTAATAAGACGATAGGTTTAGTAGAGGACAGGTGGATTAAGCCTGAGGCAAGGTAAACTTGTACGAGGGGCGTTGGTGTACATGTCATGAGATAAGTAAATGGAGTATTCAATAGTTTAATACGGAGTTTTCAATCTTAATATGTCAATAGATTAATACATTTATACCGGTAGTTATTGTCTTTTAGTAGTTAAAAGTAGAACTGAACGACTTTTCCACTTTGGCAGAAGTTTGGTCCTTATAAAGTATGCGTTTTGGGTATAGGGAGATGATACAAATTTTAGTAATGATATAGGTAAAACATACCATTAGGAGCCATGGCCTGCTATGAGCACCATGAAAACCAATCGTTTAAGTCTCCATCGACTGATGTTACTTTTGACTAAATTGTCAAGCCGTACAAAATCTCTTAATAAAATTCCGATAAGAAATTGTCAAGCTTGCTTTTTTCGGAGGAAATAAGAAGGAAAACCCTAGTGGCATAGTTTAAAAGGCACAGCCCGAAAACAAATTGCTAAACAGTTCCAGGCTAGGGTCCTAGAACATTAGGGGTTTTTTTTTGGCCGGTATCCGGGGATTTTGAGCCCGCGGGAGTCCGGCACTACTGGGAGGCCATCAAGCATCCCTGTGTGCGTAAACGCAATTTACCTCCTCCTTACAAAAAAGATTTTTTTCAAGAACCGTTAAAGAATAATTGTGACTATGCCATTGACTATGTCATTGTTTCTCCTTTGTCATAATAAACCAAAACGAATTTGACTCAAAAATCAAAATAACCATTGCAAAAACTCCACTATAAATTACTCACTATAACGACCGATAAAAGACAATCGTTGACAGAAACCAAATTACATACGCACAAACCCCTAAATCTTCCTGACCGAATGTGACTTCCAACATCTTTAATGATGCTCCTAAAACTTCAAGAGTCCCTATAAATTGCGCAGGGAATAAAAATGTAAATTGAACCCGTGGTACTGCGAAATATTGATCAACAGCAGGTGCGCGCAAGGTGAGCTAGTCTGCTTCCTGAGGACAAAAACTGAGCTGCAGTCGGGAACAAAATGACGACTAGAAGGAAGAAAGGCTCGTATGTCTACAGAGATGTCGGAGTATGCTATATGATCTTTTGTTGCGAGGCTAGCTGTTTTCATTGTCTTTGCGTACGTTTTTAGGTCACAAAAAATGTTCACAATTGTTCTATGAAGTAGCACGGGTGGATTTTCATCTGCTATGTTTGGTGGACCTACAATAAAGTAAAGTCACTTTTTTTGCAAGGAAGTGGTTTTGATCGATCTCGTTATCCTAACGTAGACCTTTTGTTGGATATTATCATTGATTGATTTTCCATTACCGGTTCCGCTGAATCCTTTCTTTAGATAAAATGAGTAACCTTTAGATTTGAAAGAGATCACTATTAGGCATCTTAGATATTCTAAGTTGGCTAGTAATCATAGATTAAAAAATTTGCCTAACGAAATTTTTGATGGTCTATCCAACAAGCTAGTTACAAAATGTTTCTCCATACTGCGTCTCAAAAGTCCAAGAGACTTAAACGTTTGGTTTTAATGGTCTGGATGTATTATCGTAGAAGGTGAAATAGTTTTCAAAGGAGAACCATATCTCTTGAACATTAGAAAACCCCCAAAACATTAAATGATTAATGTAATAGTATAACAAAGATACACATGTACCTCAATACATCATGATTTTAACAAGCCAATGAATTTTGACTGAACTAGATCAAAGACGAATAATCCCTGGTCATTACGTAATTCTGGCACATTCTATACTGTCACGTGACTATGATATGTGCAAGATGTGTTCTTCCTGTGTCATCTTTCACACAATACTAGGGTTGCATCATCGTCCTACACTCTGCACTGTCCAGCCCCCTCACTGCTGCAAACCTGCGTCATCACTGTCCCACTGGCCTTGCAAGCAGAATACATCATTAGGCAAGTGAAAAGTGCCACTTTCCCTTTCAAGACATTTCAATGTAAATTCTACTGAAAAGTTGACTTTCTGGTTCATCAGGCAGGATGATAGGTGACATATTGCAATGAGTTGAAAAGATCGAGTAATTACCAAAATATTGGATACAGTCATGAATAAAAGCATTCCATAATTTGTTCTATTAATATATTGGTTGTAGGTTATATTATACTGGTTTCTATAGCCAAAAATGTTACGGAGAATTTTTTTTGTAACAAATATTGATTAAGTTCGTTGATGTGCAGGAACTGTGTTATAGTTTTCCTATCCCCGAAAATATGGTATGGATAGTTGTGATTCCATATGGGAATTATGTTTATGTTTGTTCTCAAATTCCGTAAATGAATTGACCCTTTCAATATACATCACATATACATCACAAGCACGAAAACAACCTAAAATGTCAAACATAAAAATATTTAACTGTTTCAAAAGTTTAAAGAGTTGACCTGTCTAACTTATTAGCTTTGATTAGTGTGACTTATCGTTGCCGCGGTGATCATAGCTATCCAGTATCCAGATCAGGGGGAGCGACTCGATATGCTAAACACAAAACTATATCGTCTACAAGCGCTGAAGAGCAAGCAGTAACCGGACAATTGATGGCCGGCGCGACTGTTAGCAGCCATAACACGCTAAACCAATACCATATATCATGTGGTGAGGTTCTCTGGTTTATGGTCTGCTAAACTGAGCCATAAACTGTAACGAGTTGGATGACTACAGCTACAGAACTTGGTGTAGGGATCGTTTGATGGACATGTTTTTCCATCATATTGTTTCCAGTAAGATTTTTCAACTTTTTTAATCTGCTTAGTATAAATACAGTACGGGAAACGGACTTTCGGCCTGCGCTGCCCCTGACTCGGCCTGGGCTGCCCCTATTATGTGGTGTAAAGGGTAGGTTTCTCGGGAGTAGGTACCTGACCTGAGCTTGCGCTTTACCCACTAAATCCCAGGAATCTCCCGGAAATACCTGTGGGGTGGTGGACAGGGTCGTTGACACAGGAAACAGGGCAAATAGCATTGGAGCCAACCTTCTAGGAAATACATTACTATTGTATTAGAATACTGCTGTAATCTTTGGCATTAACGACTCAGAAAGTGATGGTGTCTACGGGTGGTGGATATCCGCCCCAAATAAACCTATTTTTGTTTCAAAATTTTAGATTTAAAAATACGCAAATTCTTACTACATATAATAAATCTTTTATGCTTCTTTTAATACTGTATATGATAGTGGTTTTTAGTACTGTATTATGACAAATTTAAATGTAAAATACTTGCAGTTATTTGAACTTGAATTCATTATTTCTTAGGCCGCGAACGCTAAA